TCGCGGGGCTCGTCGCGGATGGGTCGCGGGGCGGATCGCAGGACGGATGGTGAAAAGCAATCAATGTACCCCTAACCCTTTGGGAGGGGACCACAGGTTGGATGGCCCAAACCATTAGAGATAAGGGGTCCTCTCTGCAGGCGTATCAGACCAAACCGCCCGGATTTACGATACAGAATGCCAGGACAGGGATCTAAGTGAGGCCACGTCTTCTTCGTGCTATTAAGGTTAAGGGTTTTCTTGCACTCGATGTGATGGGAATCGCGGGGTCGCGGGTCTGGTTGCGGGGCGGCATGCGGAGCGACGATGACATTCACAAAATCAGGTCGTTACAAGGGGCGGGGGGGCTTCGGGCGGGAGGTAACGGGAACGGCGGCCGCGGCGTGCACCCGCCAGAAGGCGTCCGCGCCACCGGTGCATCAATCGCATGTGTGCACCATAGCATGTAGGGGGAATTCCGGCCACCCCCACGTATGACCGTGAGCGTTACCCGAGGGGTGGGGGGCTTGCCCGTGCAACGAGCGCTATCCTCAGGAGTACAAGCGAAAACGCCCACGCGTGGCGACGAAGGCCCGCGAAGGGTCGCTGAAGAGGCGAGACCGATTCCTGGGATCCTGGCGTCTCGATTTTTTCAAGCCGGGCGTTTCCGCCTCTCTTCGGGACCTGGGAACCTCCCAGATCGATCTGGCCCGCACAATGACGCAGGACGCTGGGGTCTAGGGCTCCGGGTGTGATTCTTTACGATGTTGTATTGTTTGTTTTCGCTACGTCGGATCTCAAGGAGGGAAATTCTCTCCTCTTTGGCTCGGCGAGGGCTCGCTCCAAGAGGTCTCGGCCCAAGCCCAGGGACCTGTTATTCATCCCGAGTAGTTTTCAACGGCCCAGAGGCCCCGTAAAGGGCCCCCAGAAGCCGAAACTCGTAAAAACCTCCCGCCGTGATTTTGTCGTGACTCGAGGGGGGTCTGGGGAGCTCCCTCCTCCGATGATGGGCCTGGTTTTCAACCACCACCACCACAAGTTGGAGGGGGGAAGGAGGAGGAGGAGGAAGAGGAGGAGGAGGAGGAGGAGGAAAAGGACGAAGAGGAGGAGGAGGAGGAGGAGGAGGACGAAGAGGAGGAGGAGGAGGAGGAGAGTGAGAGGGGAGGAGGAGGAGGAGAGGAGGAGGGGAGGAGGAGGGGGAGGAGGAGGACCCCCGCCCCGTCCAACTTATGGTGGTGGTGGTGGCGGAAGACGAGCCCATCATCCAAGGCTCGGCCAGGGCTCGTTCCAAGAGCGGGGCGGGCAGGCCGCGGGCGGCGGGCGGCGCGCGGCGCGGGCGGCCCGCCGGGGGGGGGAGGGGGGGAGGAGGAGGAGGAGGAGGGATGGAGGGGGAGGAAGGCAGGAGGAGGAGGAGGAGGAGGAGGAGGAGGAGGAGAGGAGGCGGAGGAGAGGGAGGAGGAGGAGGAGGGGGAGGGGGAGGAGGAGGAGGAGGGAGGAGGAGGAGGAGGAAAGAGGAGGAGGAGGAGAAGGAGGAGGACGGAGGGGGAGGGGGAGGAGGAGGAGGAGCAGGGAGGAGGAGAAGGAGGGAGGAGGAGGAGGGCGGCGCTTTTGGCTCCTGCCCAGGGTGCCGTGCCCGCTGGCTGTCGCGGGGCGCGGGGGGCGCGCTTGCGCTCGCAAAGGCGGGGTGGGCGAACGGGGGGCAGGACCGGCCTCCCGTTCGTGTGGCAGACGTCTCCGAACATCGTGTGGCAGACTCGAGCATCATGTGAAGATCGGTCCGAATGCCGTCTTTCTGGCCAGATGGTTGCGCGCACAAACACACACACACACACGCACGCACGCACGCACGCACGCACGCACGCACGCACGCGCAGGCACGCACGCACGCGCACGCGCACGCGCACGCGCACGCGCCATTCGCCACGCGCAGCGCACGCGCACGCGCACGAGCACGCGCACGCGCGCGCCACGCACGCACTTACACGCACGCACGCACGCACGCACACACACACCACAACACACACACAACACACAACACAAAACACACAACACACACCCACATACCGCACACACACACACCACACACAACACACACACCCACACACACACACGCACGCACGCCCGCACGCACGCACGACACGCACGCACGCACGCACGCACGCACGCACAACACACACACCAAACAACACACACAACAAAAACAAACCCACAACACACAACACACACACAAACACACACAACACACGCACACACACACGCACAACACACACGCACACACCGCCCACACCAACCATCCCACACAACAATTTGGCCGGGCGGGACGAGATGGGTTTGTCAGCAACGCATGAGCCAACCTCCACAACACTGTCCTCAAAAGCCCCACAGAGAAAAAAGCCCAACAGAGGACGTACTAGCAGGAACGTGAGCACTGTAAAACCAGGCGCGTTGGGTCTAGGAAGAAACTCATTGCGGGAAGCTGTCAAGCTAGGTGGGCAAACGTGATATCATACGTGTCTTCGCAATCGGATGTCGACACATCTTGGAGAGCACGTCCATGCATGGTATGCGCGGCACTAGCATGGCATCGCGTCGAGAATCGCGTCGAGAACGCGACTCAGTTCGAGAGGGGGGGGCCGTAGAAAACCCCAAAACGCAGGGCTGCATCTGACGGTTGAGCGGACTTCGCGCGTCAGAGCCGACTTCCCTCCGGGGGGCGGGGGGGGGGCCAAGGCTGCGAAGGACGACCAGGAAGCGTCACGAAGGCAGACGACTGACGGTCTGCGCGGACTGGACTGCGTCGGAGCTGGCTGCAGCCCCCCCCCCGCCCCACCAGCATCAGGTCGGGCCTGTCCCCCTACAGGCCCTGCAGGCGGACTCTGGACGAAAAGGCAAAAATGCCTCAGCAATGCACAAACATAGTCAAATATAATCAAAAAAACGGTCCCTGACTATGTTGTACCGCCCCAGAAATGTGAAACAAACGTATTCGAAAAAAACATTACTCAGCAGATCAAAAAAAACGCAGTCAACAACAACCGCGTCAAACAAAAACGTGTTCGACAGATTCCAACGTAGTCAAAAAAACAAAATGCCCCCCCCCCAGACTGCCCCAACAACCAACACATAGTTTGGAATATCCCTCCTGTGGAGGGACCGGCCCGACGTTAACACCGGCAGCGGGCTCCGCGCGCCGAGGGCCGGGCGCGGAGGGGTGGAGCCCAGCGGCCGACCCGAGACGCCCACGCGGCCCTCCGAGAGGCCATTCGTAAATTGGGCGTGTCCCCCTACAGACGAATTTGGATGAAAAAAAAAAAAAAAAAAAACTCCAATAGTAATACTACTAATAATAATAAACATAAGAATGATACTAGTAAACGAACAAAGGTGCTCCAGCACACTCAGAAAGAATCGTCCCCAGACTATACTCCTTCACTAGATTTGGAAATATTCCTCCTGCAGAGGGATAGGCCTGACCTATGAAGCCCTTCTCTGCGCGCATCGCCCCTTAATGAAGGGGCCCCAGGACACACATATAAATACACACAAATAAAAACATTCCCCATATTATCCCATGTTTTCTGGGTTTCTGTCTCCCCCCCACACACTTCCCATATTTCCCTATGTTTTCCTGGGAATCGACGATGAATTGTGTCTGTGTGATTTTTCCCCTCCTGACGTAAGGGCCACCGAGGGCCGCTCCCTCGCCTGCGCCGCCGGGCGCCGCCGGGCCCGGCGCGGCCGCGCGCGCCGGGGGGGAGGTGCCCGGCCGTGGGGAGCCACGGCGCCGACACCGCGCAGCACCTCGCGAGGCCACGCCCCCCTCGGGCCGGGCGCCAAGGGGGGGGGGATCGCATCACGTCGGGCGTGTCCCCCTACGGTCGGGTCGGGCGAAAGGGGGGGGATAGCAAAGGGGGAAGGGAAATTTGAGAATCAATCTCACAGTGGCTGATTTTCTTTCCCTTCCCGCGGCGCCTCCCCCGCGCCGGGCGGCGATGTATCGAGGAATGGCCCCTCGGTGAGGCCGAACCCTGCATGCAGCAATTTAGTAACCCCCACCCCCAACCCCCACCCCCCCCCCCCCCCGGTGACCCCCCTCCCCCCCTTTCCAATCCCCCCGTTTCCGCCCGGCCCCCCGGCCCGACACGGGGATCTCGACGAAAACTTCAGAATACCCCAACAATGATGAACAAATAGTCCAAACATATCATCTGGGGACTATTGTTTGAGTACTGTTTGACCTTCTTGGGGTATTTTTGGGGTATCTTTTGTTTCGCCGACAATCCCCAAGGATAGCAAAGGGGGGGGGGGTGAGAATCAGCTCACGCAACCCATTTTCCCCGCGCCTCCCGGCGCCGGGAGGCGCCCATGTATCGAGGAGTGGGCCTGGCGGCGGGGCCGAAACCAGCCGCATGCAGCAAGATTTCGCACCCCCGCCCTTTCCCTATCGTCCGGTCCGACGCCCTCCCCCCCCCGCGCGCTCCCGGTCGACCACCCGGGCAGGTTCGCTGCATCGCGCAGATCTGCGGTTGCCTGCCTGCGGCCGCAGCTGAAAGGCTGCGGGTGGCCCATAAGGGGGCCCAGCTGAAGCGGGGTGGTGCAACAGAGCTGAGGCAAGTGCAGTGCAAATGCTCGGCGCCGGAGAATTGGATTGCATTGCGTTGCAAGTGATGTGTTGCACGCAAAAAACCAGCATTACATCTGCGCCCCGGAGTGTATGGCACGCCCCAAACGTATTGCAACCCCACATCTATATTGCACCAAATCTATTGCACCACCTCCTTGTCGCTGGACCCCCCTTTGGGTCAACCCGAAAGACGCTGTGCAGCAGATCCCGCCCTCTAAAGAATTAAAGGCCCAAAGCGGAGCGGCAGATCCCTCGTCTCATGTTGCTCACATCGTACTCAAGGACCACATCCTGAAACTTTGAACACCCAGAAGAAGATCGAAGACATGTCGAACGAGTATCGCCTCCAAGGGCCCGACACGTGACACCCCTCCAATTTCGTTACTTCCTTGGAGCTCGACATTTGTTTTGGTGATAAAGGCGAGGACATCATATCCCTCGTCCTACATCGGCACTTCGTGGCTGGTCCCAGCAGGGCGTGGCAGGTGACCCGCTTGGGGGGTGAGCAAGACCCGGCGAGGCCCCGCCAGACTCCGCAGAAGTCCGGCAGGACTCCGCAGGCCCTGGCAAGACTCAGCAGCTGGCTCTTCGCAGGACCGAGCAGATGTGTCAGTAGGACTGAGCAGGGCAAACTAGGGACTAGCATATCACGGCAGGAGTAAACAGAACTCTGCACGTGACGTGGAAGCTCGACAGCGTTCAGCATTGCTGTGCAAGTGCCAGCAGGTCCTAGCAAGGCTCAGAAGGATCATTGGCGAAATAAAAATCACCTCGCAGTGTAGGGTGCGCAAAAGTTCCGCAAAAAAAGTGTGAGGTCTTGACTGCGTACTAGGGCTACTCGCTAAAACAATCCCCGAGAAGGTATGGACACTCGCGGGTGCTGGGTATAGGTCGTGCCGGCCCGTCTTCATATCTCACGGACGCAGGCCCGAAATCTTGGCACCCACTATCTCACGCAGGGCGCGACACCGCTCTGGTCCCCATCGCGCCCGGAGGGCAGCCGAGGGGCAACCGGGACACCTAAGAGCGGGCATATCAAGCTCCGAGCACCTTCCGACGCCCAGATTGTCTTTATTTCAAGGCTCTGACCTGGTAGCCAGACATTCGCGCGGCCACCCTGCTCCCATCAGAGTGCAAAAAGGGATGGCGGGGAGAGGGGCATGCCTTCCAAGAAGACTGGGGGGCCTTCTAGCACGGGATCGGAGATCCCCGAGAGGACTTGCCAGAAACCAGGAATGAAGAAGCCCTGGGACTCACAAATAAATACACAAAAAGAACCGGATCCCCCATATTTCCAAATATTTTCTGGGTTTTTGTCTTCCCTCCCACTTCCAATATTTTCGTATATTTTCTGGAATCGACGATTAATTGTGTCTGTGTTTTTCCCCTCCTGAAGGAAGGCCTACGAGAAGGCCAGCCCCTATGCCCGCGCCCCCCAGGCGACCACCCACTCGAGCCATGCCCCAGGCTGGCGTGCCCGAAATGGGCGAGGAACGAATGGGCACGACGGGTATGCCCGAATGGGCAAGGAACGAGTGGACAAGGAACGAATTCTATTGGGGGCAAACAAACCTACCTCGCTTTTGACCACCCTCGCTTCCAAGAGATACCAAGCGATGCCAAACTACGGCTTGTACTGGTCAGGCCGTTTGACGAGGAGGCGCGTGGTATGACTCGGTTTTGCCTGGAAGCGAAAGCGGGGTAGGTAATTCACGCTCTGATGAAGAGAACTATGCACATACACCGACTCTGGCCAGGCCCATCCTGAGCCCAGGATCGGTGCATACGCCCTCTTACCTTGGCCAGGAAGACGTATGCACCGATCCTGGGTCAAGGATGGGCGTTGTCAGGATCGGTGCATGTGCACAATTCTCCTCGCCCGGAACGAGGTGGGCATGCCCGAGACCGGCAGCGGCCGCTGTTGGGCAGGCGACCTGCCGTTTCCAGTGGGCAACGCCCGCGGCGACACCAAGGGCCCTCCCAGGCCAGCTTTCCGAGCAGCGTCCAGCCGTGGCGTCGGCGTGGAGAACGACGTCGTCGTCGTCGTCGTCGTCGTCGTCGTCGTCGTCGTCGTCGTCACGTCGTCGTCACGTCGTCGTCGTCGTCGTCGTCGTCGTCGTCGTCGCCCCCCTTGCGCCACCCCTTCGATGCGTGCCGCCGAGACGAGCTTTGTGGATGCCATGACAATGGACACTCTAACACTCCGATCATTGAATCAAAGATGTGTCTAACATGTGTAAAACATGTTCTAAAATCGTGCCAACCATGTTTTTACATATTTCAAAACCTGTTTGAAGCATGTTTTAGACATCTGGAAAGGAGTTGGCAGCATGCTCCCTCTCCATTACAGTCGGGCTGCTGACAGAAGGAACGCTAAATAAGGAACGAAGCCCCTTCTTGGCGCTGTGAGCGCCTCCGTGCCCCAGGAGGGCAAGAGGAACAGCACTGGAAGAACCTAAGGAACATCGAGTCCCTTCCGAACCCAAACTGTTCCTTATTTCAGCGTCTTGATTGTACACTACCTGAAGCAAGCATGAGATGTGCTCAGCGTCTCGGCAACTTTCGGACAAGCTTCCTTGTCCTTTACGCTTGTGGCAAGGAGACCACCGCCTGCAAGAACCCTGGTAGCCTCCTGCGGACGCTTGTGGTGCCACGTCTTCATGATGAATTCCAGGCTGATGTCCTCCATTGTTCCTGCCGACTGTATCCTGTTTGAGCGTCTTTCGGGGAGACGTACGACTCGGGTACGGGGGACTCGGGTTGGCTTGACGGGGCCACCATAAAAATAACGAGACCCAATCTGAAATTTGGCGCGAGCTCCCGCTGCAGACATCCCACGAAAACTGGACCGTCAAAATCCAGGACGCGCTCGTCAAAAAATGTCGGCAAACCCGAGTTCCGGCTTACTCGAGTCTTACGCTTCCCCGAGTCTTGACTGTAATCGGCTCCCACAGGACGAGCTCCGCAGAGGACTTCAAAAGCCCCCGCCGCCGACGGGCCAGAGTGCCGCGCCGCCAGGGGGCACTTCAAAGGCGGGCTGCCCGCCGCGCCGGCCTCGCCGACAAGAGCGTGCACGCTCCGAGGCCGGAAGTGCACGCACCCATCGGGCCGGGCGAAAGGGGGGGATAGCGAAGGGGGGGGTTTGAGAACCAGCTCTATGCGAGCGAAGAACGGTATAAAATCAACTTTTTCGCTGTCGGGGGCGCCTGTCCCTGGGCGGCTGGAAAGTTTATACCCTCACGGTGCCACCGTAGGGTAATAAACCTTCCAGCCTCCCAGGGGCTGTGTCCCCGACGGGCGAAAAAGTTATTTTTTAATATAATAATATATACCCTTCTTCGCTCCGAGAATAAGGGGGGGGTGATAGCAAAAGGAGGGGGTTGAGAACAGCTCACGTAGCTAGTTTTTTCCCGGCGCCTCCCGGCGCCGGAGGCGGCCATGTATTGAGGAATGGCCCCGCGCTGGGGCCGAAACGGGCTGCATGCAGCAGATTTTGTAACCTCCCCTTCCTATCCCCCCCCCTTTTTTTTTTCGCGTCCGGCCCGCAACTTTCGGTCCGGGGGAGTCCGGGCGCCCCCCGAAAGTTGTACGTTGTCGCAACCCGCCACCCCCAACGCTCAGGAAAGCCGATGGCCGAAATAAACCCGTGATACTCAATTGGCTATACGAACCTCCTGGATGGAACTCCCGAGGGGACGAGAATGTCCATATCCACCATATCCACTGCCTCCAGGTGCAGCTGGGATGCCATCGGGCTCTCTAGGGTCTCAGTGCTGGGGGGGGGGGGGGGGCGGATGTGCGCAGATTCCGGTCTCGAGGATCGGACCAGCCCAGAAACAAGGACCCCGGAGCATGCAACATCAGGGCGGCTTCCGCAGGGGCGCAACCTTCCGCGAGTTCAATGCGGCCTGTGGCCTGGTCATGAGCCGACGATCGGTAAGATCTGACCCGAAGTGGGCCTGAGCTGGACTGGTGGTGATGGTGTGCACTTGCATCGTGTGGACACGTGGCCAGCTCCAGGAGCCCTGGGGACGCCAACGTTCGCCTCTCATCGGGGAGGGGCAACGTTTATCCGGCTACATGCAATGACCCGGATTGGGCAAGAGTGACACTCAGTACGTGGCCGCGGGGAGGGGGAGGGCTGCAGAGGGGGGGCGGAGCAGGGGGGGGGGGGACATGGAAGAAAGGGCAGGGGGAATGGCGGATCCAAGCGCGCAGGCCAATGCTATGGGGACCCCTGTGTGCCCGCAGTAGGGGGTACCGTCATCAGCCTAACCTAAGGAACGATAAATGAAGCCCCTTTTTCCCGAGTAAGTCTATTGAGTTCGAAGGAACGCCAGAGGGGTTCGCCGCCAAGAAAGTAGCGGAACGCATGCAAACCAAAAACCAAAGGAACGACCGAGCCCCTTTTGAAAAGCAAGTGTTCCTTATTCAAGCCGGACCCTGTATGGGTCCACGGTGGTTTTAGGCCCAAGCTCGGTCCTCCAGCGGCCGTTCGGGACGATTCGACGCTCTCGACGAGGCGCCACTGAAGAAAAACATCCCGAGGCCACCGGACAACCTCTGCGGACCGACGGACACGTCTGGTGGGCCCGCACCCCAGGCCCGTCTCACGCGCACAGTGGCTTTTCCGCGTCGCCGCCAGCGTAGCCGCCAGCGTTGCCGACGACTTCCGCCAGCTTTTGGCGGCGGGCGCAAGGCGAATAGGAGATTGATAGCAGAATCGATGTATCAAACAATCAATTCACTTCCTCGCCGAACCTACGAGAAAAATACGCAGAACGCTCCGTAGATCAGCGGAGCACCCTGAGCATGTAAAACAGAATTCGAGGGAGTAAATCAATGATGTAAGCGATCTCCTATTCGAACAAGGGGCTTGGGGGAGGGGCGGCGGTTTCTTAGAAGAGGGCCGCCTCTCAGAATGTGCTGGCACCACAGTCCTACAATCAGTGGACTACTCCAAATCCCTCATTCATTGTCCCCCGGATCTGGTTTTTAAGGCACCTTTTTTGTAACTAGGGGGTCCAGTTTATCAGGGCGTCTTCTTTGGATGGGAGCGGACGCAAAGAGGAGACTGCCACTCACAGGACGAGGAAAGGCCCGCCGAGGGTGCAGCGCGCAGGGTGGCAGAAGTGTGCGCCGAGAGGCGAGCCTGCTCAGATCCACCCTGTCAGAGTGAGAGGCTCCCTCTCGCGCGAAGCCCACGTCGAGTCGCAGGCGCGCTGGCCGACTCCGCGGCGAGCAGACGCCGCTGCGCCCGTCTCCTCCTCCTCCTCCTCCTCTTCCTCTTCTTCCTCCTCCTCCTCCTCCCTCCCTCCTTGAACGGGGGAGTGTGAAGGGGCCCAAGTAAATACACACAAATCTCAGGATGTTCCATCTTTTCCCATACTCTCTGGGCTTTTGTCTCCCCCCCCACTTCCACTTCCCATGGGATGCATATGTTCCTACCTTTTCTTCGGGTCGACGATTCCTTGTGCCTTTTTTCCCCTCCTGAGAGTGGGGGCCCCAGAGGGCCCAGGGCGTCGCGCAGAGGCCCGGGGCAGGGGACGGCGGCCCAGGGCCGGGGGTGCTCCCACCCCGGTTACCGAAGGGAATGAACAACAACACTCTGCTCGGTTGGACCGGGGACGCGCAGTCCCGGGACCCCCCGGGGGCGTCGGAGTCTGCTCCGCGCCTGTGGATATTACTGACTTGCTCGGGCCCCGAGGGCGTCCATGCCCAGGAGGAGGAGGAGGAGGAGGAGGAAGGAGGAGGGGAGGAGGAGGAGGAGGAGGAGGGGAGGAGGAGGAGGAGGAGGCAGGGAGGGGGGGGTGGAGGAGGAGGAGGAGGAGGAGTGGGAGGAGGAGGAGGAGGAGCGAGGAGGAGGGGAGGAGGAGGGAGGAGGAGGAGGAGGAGGAGAGGAGGAGGAGGGGAGGAGGAGGAGATCGCTCCCCACCCGACAGCCCCCACCCCGGCTGGGTCGTGGGACAACCGCTCGCCTCTCGAGAGGGGACCGCGGCCAGGCCCCGGACGCGACAGGGGCACCACGGGGGGCCGTCGCCGGCGGGGCCGCGCGGCGGCGCCAGACTGGGGCCCCGCGCCGGACGCGCGGCCACTGCCAGGACAGAGCAGTCGGCGCACAGCCGCGGGCCTCCCGCCCCGACCCCCCTTTTCCCCCCCCCCCCCCCATCGGATTGCGGACAGGTCCAGTGGCGTTCCTGTGGGGATCCTTGGGCTGTGGGGGGCTTCCATGGGGCCTCAACAGGGGTCTTCCTTCGCCCGGGGTTCTCCTGTGGAGTTGCCTGTGGGGCTCCTATGGGGATCCTCTGGGGCTTCATAATGGAGTGTTCTGATGGGGCTCGGGGGGTGGGGGCGGATCGTGCTCAAAACGGGGGGGGGGGGTGGGGATGCAACGGGGAGGGGTGACAAAAAGGTGCACTGTACCGCGCACCTTCGGAGCCCCAGTGGGACCCTTCGGGGCCCCTCTAGAAACCCGCTCCTGCAGCCCTCGGCCCGCCCCTTTGTCAGCGGCACGAAGGGGCAAATCCGACTTGTCTTGCTGCTGAAGCTCTGGGAGGGGGGCCTGTGCGGGCCTGTCCCCGGGGCAAATCCGACTTGTCTGGCTGAAGCTCTGGGAGGGGGGCCTGTGCTTTAGGGTTAAGTCGGGCCTGTCCCCCTACGGGGGGATTCTGGACGAGACATGAGAAATACACCAACAATAATCAAGAAATAGCCCAAAAATAATATGGCGACTATCTGTTGAGTATTTTTTGACCATTTGGGGGGTATTGTGGGGGGTATTTTGAATTTTTCGCTGAAAATCCCCATGTAGGGGGACAGGCCCGACTTAAGGTTAAGTCGGGCGTGTCCCCCTGCAGGGGGATTTTGAGCGAAAAATCAAACATACTCAAAAAACACACCCAAAATGCTGAAAAATCGTTACAACAAATCGTCCCCAGAATATGTTTCGACTATGTCTGGAAATTTGTGGAATCTTCTATTTTTCGTCGACAATCCCCCTGTAGGGGCACAGGCGCGACCTGTGCTCTAGTGAGGCTGCGGCACCGTACGATGTGCGGCTTGACCAGACTTGCAGGGCAGGCCCCTCCTCTCTGCCAGGCTCCCGCGGGGACCCCTCGGGCCCCCATGCTGACGCGCGCGCCTCCTCCTCCTCCTCCTCCTCCTCCTCCTCCTGCCCCTCTACCTCCTCTACCTCCTCTACATCCTCCTCCTTCTCCTCCTCCTCCTCCTCCTCCCTCCCCTCTCCTCCCTCCTCCACCTGCCGTTACTCCAGCCTTCCTCCTCCTCCTCCCCACCTCCCACCTGCCTCATCCTCATCCCCTTTCCTCCGCTGTCTCCTTCTTTCTTGTTGTCCCTTGTCCATTATTTGAAGTCCCGAAACGGCGTGGTGACAGACCGTGCGGTGACCTCGAACCCCCCCAACCAAGACCTCACTGCGCGGTCCGTCAACGCACGGTCTTGGGACCAAGGATGCCGCAGTCGCCCGAAACGTCCTCGGAGAACGACCCGAGTCCCAAAAAGGTGCGGTGACCCCGAATCCCCACCGACTCACCACACGGTGTGGTCACCACCCCGTTTGGGGGCCACCGACATTGCGAAACGCCTGGAGCCCGTGGCCACGGGGCTCTCTTGTTGAGCCGTCTCTGGGTGGAGCCGAACATCTGTCGTCAGAAGCTCGGCGCCCGCGGCGGGCTCTGAGCTCCGTCCTTATGTCGGTGGCGAGCCCAGGGGGGAAGTGAGAGGGGGCAGGCCTTTTCAGAAGGCGGCGGCAGAAGCCCTGAGCCTTGAGCCGCGAGAGGGGCAGGGGGGCAGAAGCCTCTCAGGGGGCAGCCCGGAGCCTGGAGCCGCGAGAAAGCCTTTCATGGGGGCAGGCCGTGCGAGGGGCGCTGAAGCCCTCGCGCCTTCTGAGTCGCTTCCTGAGCCTTCTCCAGAGCAGAGGCTGCTTCTCAGAGGGCCCGAGGGTTGCTGAGAAGCCCCGCCGCCTCCTGAGAACGCCTGCTCCCTCGCACTTCCCCCCCCTGGGCTCGCCGCCGAGTGCGGGGTCTGGGCACAATCCGCCTCGACTTACGTATCCGAAGACCTGGTGCGATTTGCCGGACGTGGCGGGCTTCCGCTGAGGAAGAGTCCACCCCAGGCCAGTCGCGTGCTGAGCTCGAAGCGAGCGCTTTCCGTCTTGTCCAGCTTCTCCTGTCCTCGTCTGCGGGGGGATGGGCCCCTGCCTGCCGCACCGAATTCAAACCGTGCGTGCCCGTGAGGAACGGACGGCCTCGTGCAGAATGCACAGGTGCAAGAGAAAACCTTGCAAAAGTAGCCCGCCCTGCAATGCTGTGGAGAGCAACGAAGCCAATCGAGAAGCGCCAAGCCCCTCGACAGATTCCAACAGAACGCTTCAGCAAGGCATCGGGGCATCGATGCCACCGGACGTCTACGTTTACAACACGTGAAAATTCCGACGCAAACAACCGGCAGAAACGTGCGCATCGCAACATACCCGATAATGACAAACGTGTCAATAATAGGCCGCAAATCCGCGAAGCCCTCACATCAAGGCTTCACCAAAGCTGGAGCCCTGTCCAGCTGGAGCCCTGCAGTGAAGATGACGAAGTTCCTTGGACCACGGCGCATCCTCCGCCTCCACCCCCCTCCTCGTTCCTCTGTCACTTCTCCTCCTACTCCTCCTCTCCCTCCTTCTCGTCATCGTTGCCCTCGTTCCTCTTGCTTGCTTACCCTTGCCATTGTTCTCCTCCGTGGCATCCCATCACTCCTCGCCTCTGCTTGCCATCGCTCCCCCTCTTCCTCCCGTCTCCTCCTCCCCCCTGTTCCCCCTCCTCTTCATCCCCTTTCCTCCCCCTCGTCACCCTCCCCCGCTCACTCCTTCCCCTCCTGCACCTCTGGAGGGAGGGGGGCAGGGGGACGGAGCGAGCTGACGATGAAGGCGCAGTGAGCGGGGAGGGGGGCGGGGTAACTCCCCGTCGCTCGGACGTCCATTTCCCGTGCATTGTTCGGTTTCGTGCGTTTTTTTTGCTCGATGGTCCAGGATGGTTCTAAAGGGTCCTCGCCGAGAAAAAAAATGCACACGTCCGAGCGATGCCAAGGGCAAGCACGAGCGTGAAGGGCGAGGACGTCGCTGCCGCCGACGGCGGCACGACCCGACGGGGGCCCCGGGCGGACCGGCGCGGCCTTTTGAGAGTGGCGGGGTCGTGCGCAGCCAGGTGCTTCGCCAGTAGCTGCCCGACCTACAGTGATCCTATGTCCGCCGGGCGCCCCGGGGCGCGGGGGCCGCCGAGCCGTCGAGCAGGGCGGCTGCCTCTCCTCCCGCACAGAGCGCACCGTTCCTCGTCGGCCGGAAGAGGTGGGCAGAAGCACGAATGGACGAGCGCCCCGCGCGGATTTCGTGTCTCCGTCTCCTGTCTCATGTGCGTCCTCCTCCGCGAATGAGCTAATCATCATACTCCTGGTGGTATTCCTCCCTCTCGTGTTCTTCCGCATCCTCCTCCTCCTCCTTTTCCTCCTCCTCCTCCTCCTCCTCCTCCTCTTCCTCCTCCTCCTGCTCCTCCCCTTCACCCTCGCCCTCGTCGTCGAGCTCCTCCTTGTGTTCCTCCTCCGGTTCCTCCTCCTGTTCGCCGTGCACCTCCTGCTCCCCGTTCTGTTCCTCGTGCTCCTCCTCAATTCATCGTTCTCTTCCGCGTCGCAGTGTTCCTCACTCTCCAACTCCTCTTCCGCCGCATCCTCGCAATGCTCCTCCTCTTCCTCCTCCTCCTCGCATGCCTCCTCCTCCTCCTCATCGTCATCGTCCTCCCTGTCATGATGCTCCTCCTCCTCCTTCTCCTCCTGCCCCCCCTGCC